CGTAACTCGGCGCGCATGTCTCGCCGACGTTGTCGGCCGCGCCGTACCAACCGCTTCTGGATCTCCTTGAACCAAGCCGAGAGCAAAACCCGCACAAAAGACAAGCGGTAACCACACCTAACGATGACCTACAGGAAACGCCATAGAGCTCTCTTAACCGCTTCTCCGAGTACATATCTTTTATATACTTATAAAAGACAGACGCGAAAAAAAAACTCTTTCTAAAAAAAAAAATTATATTCTTTAATATCGTAGATCCTGAATCAATTGAAAGAGCCAGGGACACGAATCTAACTTACGTACGCTTTCGTGGTGATGCGTGGAAAATTAATGAGCCTCTTAAGTTCTCAGACATTTTATAGATTTCATCTCATAGATTTTATCTACGACCGTTTCAATTAACATTGTTAATAATGCGTATACATAATTAGTATCTTGCCATTGAATTTTTATCATTGTCGTAAACTGATCTCTGCTTTTATCGCCGACGAGCATTTTTATATATCATTTTTATAACGAAGAAAATAACTTTAAATACTAAGTAATCGTTAGATCCCCGTTCGATAATACACGCACCGTGAAATGATTCCGTACTGGTACTCGAATACCGATAAGATCGATCCATTCGATTTTGCGATAACCGGATCGAGAATATTCGACGATCAATCGCGTTGGCACGCGTTAATCCGTCCTTGAGACGGGAGTCCATGTCGTCCTGAGACTTTCGAATGATATGGTATGCTGTTGCATGCTCACTTCGGGCGTGCGCCGATTAATTTTCAGCCGAAGCGACCCCGTGATAAAATGCCGACGCCTTTCCTTGCGACGACACAGCTCGCGATGCTCGCTGATGAAACACCACCGGACCGAATTCAACGCAGACGTGTATAAATGGGCCGACGATGATGTCGCAAGTATCGTCGAAGAATATGCGAAAGTTGTCTCTTATAACTGATTATTCGATCAGAACTCGACGCAATCGACGCGAACTCAATCGCGAACGTAGGAATTATAACGAGATGATTAACTATTCAGAGATGCAATTCTATCCGGCCTCTCGTCATTTTTGTTACCTTCTAATAAATATCACTAGGAAAAAACAAGCAAAAGAATTGATTAATAATTTCTACAAGTAGTGTAAGAAACTCGTAACTCGCTACCATTACAATTGCCGAAGCAAACGTTACCGCTTTCAAATTTTTAGCTGTCTTAAAAGTTTTTCCATCTGAATTTTTACATGATTTTTCCCGATCATTATAGAACATTGGAATAAACTGCTCCATCGCTTTGTCTAACTAGTGATTCGAATCCAACGAAATCGGTTATGCTTTTCTAAATGCTTTCTGGAAATTGGAAAGGTCTTCGGTCAGCAGGGTAAGCTGATTCGCGATTATCGAAACCCCCACCCCCTCGTGCGGATCGCACGCAGTCCAGATTCCGACGAAATCGACGAGGAGACGTTGCAACGGTCGTCATTATCTACGAAACGCGCGCACAATCGTCCGGAACACTGTACAGGCTAATGACTCTTCCATCTGGTCCGGGGTTAGAGGAAAATCGTGACGCTGTGTTAGAGCTCTGTAATCAACGTTGTGGCATGCCAGTCATACACAGTGAGAGGCACAGACACATTCGGTCCGATCCAGTTGGGAGCAATCGACCACGGCGCACCACGCCTTATCTAAGTGAGCCCCGAAGCCGTCCGGAGAAAGGGAGAATCGTTGCGCCGTGCAAGATCCGCGTTTGCCGCTTAATAAACATACGTCCTGCTCTTTGCGCGAGTCTCTTATCTCCGATTTCAATCACTTCCGTGATGTTTTTCGCGAAACTTTTTTGAAAGTCCAAACGAAAAGCAACGTGGAAATACAAGTTACCGAGCAACGCTATGAATTATTTTTCTCTTGTATAGAGATATAAATTATTATTATAAGTTAGCTAGAATATTAAACACGTTACTGCTAATA